TCAGTGATCGCCGATCGAGATTTCATTTATTATATTATATTAATTGGATTAAGAAAAGGTACGCAAAATTCAACATCGATGTGATGTTGATAGAAATCAGGATCAATTTGTGATCAACTCTGTTTGTTTTGTTTCCTAATTAAGTGAGGAAATTTTAATTGACAGTACCGACAAATGAATATATACAAATACAACTGTTCGGATTTTTAATTAAATTAAAAGTTATTCGGTGTCCAGCCCCACTTCTTTAGCAACACAGAGAGGAGAATTCTACTGCCTGAGGGTTATAATCCCTAAGTGCGGCCGAAGGCCGCCTACGCAGAAAGGAGTTGGACGCCTGGTTCCACTATAGTGCACTTTTATCCAATTCAAGTTTTTGTATTGAATTTTTGGTTAAAAAATGTTTTTTTCCTTTTCAGTAGGGTTTTTTGCCGCTGTTTGTCAAAAGCATACGATTTCGAACTCGCGTAAATGTACATTTGCTAAATTTGATAGCATGAACGCTCTTCGAAAAAATATGTTGGTAAGTGCTTAATGTTGCATTTTAAATGCAGCAATAACGTCGCATAAAGCGAAGCGCACATTGGCGCGATTCTGTCGTTGCGAATACATTGCAAATTCGGCTGTTAACTTCGAATCCGCAAACGTGCGCACACTTGAGCGATTTTTTCGCGTCGATTTCCGATGTACAATTCACTAAATTTTCCCTTTATTTCGTGTATTTTCGCACTCGGCGTGCCCAAATCGTACAAAATACTATTATTACGAACGTTTTTATTAGTTTTTGTATATTACCTTTGCCTTTATTGCTGTGACACCTTTCTTCTTCTTCTTTGACGCCTTCAAAACGCTGCAAGCCGCGTTTCGAACGCGTCAATAGAGAAGAACATTGAATGTTCGAAAAATTCGCAGCGACGGAATCGTGCAAGTGTGCGCTAGCGCATTAAAATGTATGGGTAGCATTGTTGTAATTTTTGGGCTTGCGGATTCGCAACGACAGAATCGCGCCAATGTGCGCTTCGCTTTAAGTTGCATTTGGCATGGCCAAGGCACATTAAACAGATAGTATCAGTAGAGCAAAAACAACATTTGCGTGTATTTTGTTGTTGCTTCTGGTATCGAAAGTGTCAACAACTGTTCTGAATTTTTTCTTCTAAATNGCATTGATCCATCCTTTGCAAGGCCCAGTAATCAGCGGTCGTGCTGCCGAGTTGGGCGAACGTTCCAAAAGCTGCTATTCAATCGCTTGTTTTGTATGGAAAAAGGTTTCACAAGCAAATGGATTTTAACAACTAATAATTTTCGTGAGAAAAAATTAAAAATATTTGACATTTTCGAGACCAAATAATTTGAAAATAAATCAAATAAATTCAATGTACCTTGGGCATGGCCTTTACAGAGTACCAAGCTGAGTGTGAAGGCCCCTAGTGTCTTTTGGCTGTTTGAAGGAGTTGCCAGGTCTGGTAGAGAAGGCGACAACAAAAAGGAATGTCAAATTGGGCTTTTATTTAGAATTGGCTTAACGCTAAAAGGCAAAAGAGAAATCGTATTCAACTTTTTCTTTGTCATTGGTATATGGCTGTAACAGGAACTTTGTCATATGAAACGTTTTAAATATTCCTAGAAATAATGATTACTTTCACTTTATCGTGATAAAGATAGGCGATTTTTGTATACATATGAATACGACTCGGGAAGTTTGACCGTCATGCCGTGCACCTGACTCATAACAAAAATAAGAACTGCCAAAGATACTAACTAGCGATGGAGGTCACTTGTGACCGTGGAACCAATGATTGCAAATCAGATATGGAGCTTGGCGATCCTCCCATACAATGTTGCGAGTGGCAGGTGATTTTAAATACCCAACTTGTATTTTAAAACTTATTTACATATGTTTTCTGCATCAGGTGGAGGATGTAATAAAATGGGCTAAAGATTATGAAATGCAGCCCGCAGTTATAAACTGCTTGACCCTTGAACGCATTGATGGCAGTGATCTTTTAGAATTAAATGAAAACGATATTCGAGATTTTCGTTATCGGCTTCAATACAACCTTAGGATGAGTGATATGAAAAAACTGTGGGTAGCTGTACGGACTCTACAACAGAGTCAGTTGCATTCACCCCTCCAGCACGCTTGTACATGTACGCATATGAGCACATCCATATCAGCGGATGGATCGCCCATAAATCCTCACAAAATTCGTGTAGCTTCTGGTTGCTACAACGTAGGCACATGTAGTTGTACACTCGCTCAAACTGGTGGTAGTGGTGGGAATTGTTATTATTCAGATGCTTGTGCACCACCGCCAACGTTAAGTGGTAGTGCGGAAGGTGAAAACTTATCTCCCCCGATGTCAGTTGATGGGCGCGCTACCAACATACCACCAGAGCTATTTAAAACCGCTATTAGCCTAGGTAAGTCACAACTCAATGCACATTTCAATATCGTATAACTGATTGTGGGTACAGTAAGGGGTTTCCAGCTTAAAATCTAGTCACTTTTACAGGTCTAATGTTACCGATAATTTTGTAACCGGAAAATTTTAGTACCATAAAAGGTTACCAGTTCCTGTCACCGCAATGAGGTAGAAGTTACGGTTAAACACAATGACTGTCACATGTTATATGCATGATGTCGAAATAGCCGATAATGATGTTTAACTGGGAGGTAGTTGTAAACGTTATGTAGAATTTTCTCTGGGGTTTCATCCACCAGCCCACAAAAGACTCAGGACCATTAAAGCGCATTTAGGCTCTATGCTTAGCGAGAAACTCAGCCCTTTCGTTGCCTTCAAACCGCGTTACGCTATTATGGGCTACCAGGTGGTTTAAAATGGGTCTAAAGCTGTCCACAAGCCATTGATTGAGTGTACAGCCTTTAACGCTACCTGACTATATGACATAATATTTATCTTGGCCACATTTGCTGTTCCACGAAGACATTCGCGAACACATATTTTGATTGCGAAAACTTCCACCTGAAATAACGTTGGGTATGTGCCCATTGGCAGACTTTCCGCACCCTGGCCTGTGGAGATCTTCTGAGTCATTTGCAGATTCTCCTCAAGTCATTTCTGGATGACCCCTAGTTATCTTTCTACCCTACAAGGTCAGAGTTCCTGAAAGGGACTGAGGTGAAGCGACAATAACTATGATTGACGATGGTATTCCGACGGATCAAGTTGGACGACGAGAATACTGTGGCAGGCGTACTTGGACCAAGATTCC